CCCGGCAGATTCCGACGGGCGCCAATGGCCGCGCCGGGCTCTAATCCCCCCCCCGGGGGCCCGCTAAGCCGGGCTCAATCATCGCTCCCGCACACAACAGCGCCGGCCCCCCCCTCACCCCCCCCAAGTGTGGGGCAGGGGGAGGCTGCTCCCTGTATTGTGCTCCCACCCATCTATGGGGCAGCGTCGTGTGTCCCCCCCATAGCAGCCCCATGGATGGGGGGGGGGGGGGGGGGTCCCCGCTATTCGGGGCGGGGGGGATGTCCCTCTTTGTGTGTCACCGGGCAGCGAAGTGGTTAATGAAGGGGGGGGGTGCGGGATCCGACCCCGGGGGCCGGACCGAAGGGGGGGGGGGGGGGGGGGGGCTTATAAAGGTGTTTGCCGGGCGGCCCCCGGGGAGGGGAGCGGGGCCGCAGGAGCGGGGCCAGGCAATGCGGGAGCTGCGCTCGTCCTCCTTCTGGAGGGCCGTCCTGGCCGAGTTCCTGGGCAGCCTCCTCTACACCCTGCTGGGGCTGGGGGCGTCCCTGCGCTGGGTGCCGGGCCCCCCCAATGTCCTGGGGGCTGCCCTGGCCTTCGGGCTGGGCTCAAGCCACCCTAGTGCAGGCTCTGGGGCCGGTGAGCGGCGGCCACGTCAACCCGGCCGTCACCTTGGGCTTTCCTCATGGCCTCGCAGCTCTCGGTGGCCCGGGCCGTGGGCTACCTCGTGGCACAGGTCCTGGGTGCGCTGGCCGGGGCCGGGGTGCTCTATGGGCTCACACCGGCCCCGGTCCGCGGCACCCTCGGGCTCAGCGCGGTGAGCGGGGCTCCCACAGGGGGTTTTAGGGGTGCCACGGGGATGTCATGGGGGGATTGAGGGGGGTAAAGGGGGGGGGTAGGGGGTCTGGGAGGTGCTTGGGGCTTTGGGGTTGTGGAAGGGGGGGTTTAATGGGAATTGAGGTGTTCAGTGGGGGGTTTAGGGGCTCTGGGAGGTGCTTGGGGCTTTGGGGTTGTGGAAGGGGGGGTTTAATGGGAATTGAGGTGCTCAGTGGGGGTTACTGCGAGGTTTAGGGGCTCTGGGGTTGGGGGTGGTTGTAATGGGGGATTGAGATGCTTGGGGGGCTGAATGGTGCTAATGGGGGGGTTAGGAGGTCTGGAGGTGTTTGGAGCTTTGGGGGGGGGCTGTATGGGGGGATTGAGATGCTGAACGGAGCTAATGGGGGTTAATGGGAGGTTTGGGGGGGACCGCGAAGTGCTTGGGGGGAGCAGGGCTTCGGGGTGCAGCGGGGCAAGGCGGTGCTGGGCTCTGCGGGGTGGTGCTGAGCCCCGTGCCCCCCGTTCCAGCTGCACCCGGGGCGTGGGGCCGGGCCAGGGCACGGTGGTGGAGCTGCTCCTCACGGCGCAGTTCGTGCTCTGCGTCCTCGCCAGCTTCGACGACCGCCACGACGGGCGCCCGGGCTCGGCCGCGCTGCCCATCGGCTTCTCCCTCGCCTCGGCCCACCTCTTCGGGGTAAGAACGGCCGCGGGGGGTCCCCGCCTCGGGGGGCAGCGGGGCCGGGTCCCGCACCCACCGCCGCGTCCCCCTCCCATCAGATGTATTACACGGGCGCCAGCATGAACCCGGCGCGCTCCTTCGCGCCCGCCGTCATCACCCGCAACTTCACCAACCACTGGGTAAGAGCTGCGGGGGGGACCCCGCATCCCTCCCACATCCTTCCCGCATCCCTCCCGCATCCTTCCCGCATCCTTCCCGCATCCCTCCCGCATCCTTCCCGCATCCCTCCCGCATCTGTCCCGCATCCCTCCCGCATCCTTCCCGCATCCGTCCTGCATCCCTCTCACATCCCTCCCTCATCCTTCCCTCATCCCTCCCTCATCCCTCCCGCATCCTTCCCGCATCTCTCCCACATCCCTCTCGCATCCTTCCCGCATCCCTCCCGCATCCCTCCCGCATCCCTCCCGCATCCTTCCCGCATCCTTCCCGCATCCCTCTCACATCCCTCCCTCATCCTTCCCTCATCCCTCCCTCATCCCTCCCGCATCCTTCCCGCATCTCTCCCACATCCCTCTCGCATCCTTCCCGCATCCCTCCCGCATCCCGCCCGCATCCCTCCCGCATCCTTCCCGCATCCTTCCCGCATCCCTCCCGCATCCTTCCCGCATCCCTCCCGCATCCTTCCCGCATCCCTCCCGCATCCCTCCTGCATCCGTCCCGCATCCCTCCCGCATCCTTCCCGCATCCCTCCCGCATCCTTCCCGCATCCCTCCCGCATCCCTCCCGCATCCTTCCCGCATCCGTCCCGCATCCTTCTCCCATCCCTCCCGCATCCCTCCTGTATCCCTCCCACATCCTTTCTGCATCCCTCCTGCATCTCTCCCGCATCTCTCCTGCATCCCTCCCGCATCCCTCCCGCATCCTTCTCCCATCCCTCCCGCATCCCTCCCGCATCCCTCCCTCATCCCTCCCGCATCCCTCCCGCATTCCTCCCGCATCCTTCTCCCATCCCTCCCGCATCCCTCCTGTATCCCTCCCGCATCCTTTCTGCATCCCTCCTGCATCTCTCCCGCATCTCTCCTGCATCCCTCCCGCATCCCTCCCGCATCCCTCCCGCATCCTTCTCCCATCCCTCCCGCATCCCTCCCGCATCCCTCCCGCATCCCTCCCGCATCCCTCCCGCATCCTTCTCCCATCCCTCCCACATCCCTCCCTCATCCCTCCTGCATCTCTCCCGCATCCCTCCCGCATCCCTCCTGCATCCTTCCTGCATCCGTCCTCCGTGACACCCCCCGGTACCATTGCGCTGGGTACCGGGGTCCCCGGTGCCGGTGCCCACCCCGTGCCCCCCCCCGCACCTCCCGCAGGTGTTCTGGGCGGGCCCGGTGCTGGGCGCTGCGCTGGGCTCGGTGCTCTACGAGTTCGCGCTGTGCCCGCGGCCGCGCAGCCTGGCCGAGCGCTTGGCCGCCTTCAAGGGAGCTCCGCCCGTTACCGAGCCGCCTCCTTCGCCGCCGGCGGAGCCGCTGGAGCTGAAGACTCAGGGCTTGTAGGTCCCGGCCGCCCCGCCGCTTGGCTGCGTTGTGGTGCGTGTGTTGCGGCGGGCGGCGGCGGGGCCCGGCCCCCGCGAACCGCCGCGGCGGGAGCGCTGTGTTCGGTGCATTAAACGGCAGCGTTTATTTTGGTAACCGGCAGTGCCCGGCGCCGGGGATGGAGGGGAGCGGGGATGGAGGGGAACGGGGATGGAGGGGAACGGGGATGGAGGGGAACGGGGATGGAGGGGAACGGGGATGGAGGGGAACGGGGATGGAGGGGAACGGGGATGGAGACAGCGGGGATGGAGGGGAACGGGGATGGAGGGGAACGGGGATGGAGGGGAGCGGGGATGGAGGGGAACGGGGATGGAGGGGAGCGGGGATGGAGGGGAACGGGGATGGAGACAGCGGGGATGGAGGGGAACGGGGATGGAGGGGAACGGGGATGGAGGGGAGCGGGGATGGAGACAGCGGGGATGGAGGGGAGCGGGGATGGAGACAGCGGGGATGGAGGGGAACGGGGATGGAGGGGAACGGGGATGGAGGGGAACGGGGATGGAGGGGAACGGGGATGGAGACAGCGGGGATGGAGGGGAGCGGGGATGGAGACAGCGGGGATGGAGGGGAACGGGGATGGAGGGGAACGGGGATGGAGGGGAACGGGGATGGAGGGGAACGGGGATGGAGGGGAACGGGGATGGAGACAGCGGGGATGGAGGGGAGCGGGGATGGAGACAGCGGGGATGGAGGGGAACGGGGATGGAGGGGAACGGGGATGGAGGGGAACGGGGATGGAGGGGAGCGGGGATGGAGGGGAACGGGGATGGAGACAGCGGGGATGGAGGGGAACGGGGATGGAGGGGAACGGGGATGGAGGGGAGCGGGGATGGAGGGGAACGGGGATGGAGGGGAACGGGGATGGAGACAGCGGGGATGGAGGGGAGCGGGGATGGAGACAGCGGGGATGGAGGGGAACGGGGATGGAGGGGAGCGGGGATGGAGGGGAGCGGGGATGGAGGGGAGCGGGGATGAAGGGGAGCGGGGATGGAGACAGCGGGGATGGAGGGGGACGGGGATGGAGGGGAGCGGGGATGGAGGGGAGCGGGGATGGAGACAGCGGGGATGGAGGGGAGCGGGGATGGAGGGGAGCGGGGATGGAGACAGCGGGGATGGAGGGGAGCGGGGATGGAGGGGAACGGGGATGGAGGGGAACGGGGATGGAGGGGAGCGGGGATGGAGGGGAACGGGGATGGAGGGGAGCGGGGATGGAGGGGAACGGGGATGGAGGGGAGCGGGGATGGAGGGGAACGGGGATGGAGGGGAGCGGGGATGGAGGGGAACGGGGATGGAGGGGAGCGGGGATGGAGGGGAACGGGGATGGAGGGGAGCGGGGATGGAGGGGGAGCGGGGATGGGGGAACTGGGGTCAGGGGAGTAACCCGGGATGAGGAGACCGGAAATGGGGGACACCAGGGATGGAGACAGCGGGGACGGGAGGACCGGGGATGGAGGGGACCGGGGAGGGGGGAACTGGAGATGGGGAGAACCGGGGATGCTGGGGACCAGCCCGAGCCCGCGTCGCCCCGGCAACCGCGCGGGGGCTGCCGGGAGGGGAGGTGCGGTCCTTTCCCGCGCCCGCGGTGGAGGTCCCCGCCCTGCGTCGCACTTAAAGGGGCAATGCCGCGCATGGGAGCTCCTCCCGTTTTGGGGGGCACCGCATCACTGTGGGAGCGAGGAAGGGGTGGAATCTTTCCGGGGGGGGGGGGGGGGGCTGCGGGGCAGCGGCCGCAGCGGTTACGCGGGAGGCGGGAGGTGGGGAGGGGGGTGTGGGCCCCACCGCGTGCCCAGGGCGGGAGTTGCCGCTTTAAGCCCGTGAGCGGGGCGGGGCCTCCCAGCGCGGGAACTCGGGGTGTTGCGCGGGGCCGCGGGAACGGGCCGGGATTGGCGGGAGCTGCGGTAGCGGCGGCATCGGTCCCCGTTTGGAGGTGTTTGTGGGGGGGCGGAACCGGGGGGCGCTGGGCCCCGGCTCGCACAAGGACCCCGTTACCGGCGCCGGTGCGCGGACGGGTGCGGGATGAACTGCGAGCTCCTGGCTACCTGCAGCGCTCTGGGCTACCTGGAAGGGGCCGTGTACCACCGGGAGCCCGACTGCCTGGGTACGGGGGCGCTCGGGGCGGCGGCGGGGCTCGGCGCGGCGCTGCGGGGCTCACGGCTCCGTGTCCCCCCGTTTAGAAAGCGTTAAGGACCTGATCCGGTACCTGCGCCACGAGGACGAGACCCGGGATGTGCGGCAGCAGCTCGGGGCGGCGCAGATCCTGCAGAGCGATCTCCTGCCCATCCTGGTGCAGTACCCGCAGGACAAGGTCCTGTTCGATGCCGTGGTCAGGTACAGGGGGTGCGGTTGTGGGGGGGGGTCGGGGTGGTGCCGTAGGGCTCCCCCCATGGAGCAGCGTTGCCCCCTCGCAGGCTGATGGTGAACCTGACGCAGCCGGCGCTGCTCTGCTTCGGCAAAGTCCCTGCGGATGCCGGCTCCCGGCACCACTTCCTGCAGGTCGGGACTTACCTCCAGGCCTATAAAGAGGTGAGTCTGACCCCCCCTTGGGCTGGGGGCTCTGTTTGTGCCCCCCTCGCTCACACAGGGCTCTCTGCAGGCGTTTGCCAGTGAGAAGGTGTTTGGGGTGCTCAGTGAGAAGCTCTATGACCTCCTGCAGCTCGTGAGTGCCACGGCCCTGCATGGGCTGCATCCCTGTGGGTGCTGCGGGGACCCCTCCTGGCTGCATCCCTGTGGGTGCTGCGGGGACCCCTCCTGGCTCCATCCCTGTGGGTGCTGTGGGGACCCCTCCCAGCTCCATCCCTGTGGGTGCTGCGGGGACCCCTCCCAGCCCCATCCCTGTGGGTGCTACGGGGACCCTTCCCAGCTCCATCCCTGTGGGTGCTATGGGGACCTCTCCTGGCTCCATCCCTGTGGGTGCTGTGGGGACCCCTCCCAGCCCCATCCCTGTGGGTGCTATGGGGACCTCTCCTGGCTCCATCCCTGTGGGTGCTGTGGGGACCCCTCCCAGCCCCATCCCTGTGGGTGCTACGGGGACCCTTCCCAGCTCCATCCCTGTGGGTGCTATGGGGACCTCTCCTGGCTCCATCCCTGTGGGTGCTACGGGGACCCTTCACGGCCCCATCCCCGCAGGACTGGGAGCAGCGGCAGGAGGAGGACACGCTGCTCATCGAGAGGATCCTGCTCCTGGTGCGCAATGTCCTGCACGTCCCCCCGGACCCCACCGAGGAGCAGGTACCCGACGGGACCCTTCACCGCGCGCGGCAGCTCTGGGGCCATCACGGGGGTGCTGAGCCCCCGTTTTCCGTCTCCCCCAGCGCGTGGACGGCGACGCCACCGTGCACGACCGGGTGCTGTGGGCGCTGCACATCAGCGGCATGGACGATCTGCTCAAGTTCCTGGCCAGCGCCCAGACGGAGCAGCAATGGGCGCTGCACGTCCTGGAGATCATCTCCCTCATGTTCCGTGACCAGGCGAGTGGGGCAGGGGCCGGTGGGGCAGGGACCCCCATGGACCCCCCCATCCCATAGCGCTGATGATGCCGCCCGCAGAGCCCGGAGGACCTGGCGGTGCTGGGGCAGGGCCAGGCGGGTGCTGAGCACAGCGAGGACACGCGGGAGCTGCAGAGCCTGCGGCAGCGGGAGCTGGCGGAGAAGAGGAGCCGGGCGCTGCAGCGCCCGTACAGGTGAGGGCAGGGGGGGGGTGGCAGCACCGGGACCCCCACGGTGGGGTCCGCACCGCTCACCCCACATCCCGTTCCCCCCCCTCCAGGCACTCCCGGTTCGGCGGCTCCTACGTCCTGCAGGGCCTGAAGGCGATCGGGGACCGGGACGTGGTGTTCCATAAGGGGCTGCACAACGTGAGCACGGGGATGGGGACGCGGTGGTGGTGGTGGTGGGGTGATGCCGGACGGGTCCGAGCGCGGTGCCGTGCCCGCAGCTGAAGAGTTACAGCCACGACCTGGGCAAGGAGCCGCGGCGCGTGCCCCGGCGGCGCCAGGCAGCCCCCGAGGCCGAGGCTCCGCACCGCTCCGCGCGCAACGTCCGCCTCTTCCTGCGCCGCTTCTGCCAGGACTTCCTGGAGGGCTGCTACAACCGCCTCATGCTGCTGGTGAAGGTGAGGGGGCGGCCGTGGGGCTGGGACCCACGGGGCTGTGTCCCCCGCCCCGCTGAGCCCCACGGGCTGCGCCCCACAGGACCACTTGGTGCGGGAGAAGGCTCAGCAGCACGACGAGACCTATTACCTGTGGGCTTGCGCCTTCTTCATGGCCTTCAACCGGCACCGCGGCTTCCGCCCGGAGCTGGTGTCCGAGACCGTGGGCGTCCGCGCCTTCCACTTCATCGAGCAGAACCTCACCACCTACTACGAGATGGCGCTGATGGACAAGAAGGAGGCCGTGACCTGGGCACGCAGGTGGGGGCTTGGGGTTGCCCCGTCGCCGGTTGGATGGGGCTCGGAGCCCCCTGCTCCGATGGAAGGGGTCCCCGTTGGGACTGGATGAGCCTTGGGGTCCTGCCCACCGCCTTCCTCCGCAGGATGCACTTGGCTCTCAAGGCGTACCAGGAGCTGCTGCGCACGGTGCAGGAGATGGACCGGTCCCCGGAGCCGGCGGTGCGGGACAGCAGCCAGGTCATCAAGAGTGAGTCCCATTGTCCCGTTGCATCCGTCCCACGCTGGGGATTCCCATTCCACCTCCTTCCTCCTCCTCCTCCCCAGGCAACATCTTCTACCTGATGGAATACCGGGAGCTCTTCCTCACGCTCTTCCGCAAGTTCGACGAGACCAAGCAGCCGCGCAGCTTCCTGCGGGACCTGGTGGAGACGGCGCATCTCTTCCTGCGCATGCTGGAGCGCTTCTGCCGCGGCCGCGCCAGCCTCGTGGTGCAGGTCGGGATGGGGAGCGCCCCACCGGGGGGTCCTATGGGGCTCACAGCCCCTCCTCACCCCGTCCTTGGCCCCCTATAGAGCAAGCGTGTGCGGAGGAAGAAGCAGCCCCGCGCGCCCGCAGCCGCAGCCCCGCAGCCGCCCAGCGCCGAGGAGCTGCAGGAGCTGTGGGCAGGGCTGGCCCCACAGCTTCAGGCCTGTCTGCAGGTAGGGGATGGCTCCAGCCCCATAGCAGGGACCTTGTGGGGGGGTCGCTGTGGGGCACAAGGTGACAGCATCCTGCATAGGGCGAGGTGCCCCTCCCCGAGGACGTGGTGCCCTTCGATGCTGCGTCGGAGACGCCGGTGGAGGAGCAACGCGCCGAGGCCCTGCTGCGGATCCAGGGGTGCCTGCGGGATGCTCGGGTCCCCCAGGCCCTGCGGCTGCTCCGCTCTGCCCGGTACCGGCACCATCCCCATCCCGCACGTGGTGCATGGACACGGTGACAGCCGTGACGGGCATTCCCGGTGCATGGATATGGTGATAGCCGTGATGGGCATTCCCAGTGCATGGACACGGTGATAGCCGTGATGGGCATTCCCAGTGCATGGATATGGTGATAGCCGTGATCGCATTCCCAGTGCACGGACACGGTGATAGCCGTGATGGGCATTCCCAGTGCATGGATATGGTGATAGCCGTGATGGGCATTCCCGGTGCATGGACACGGTGATAGCCATGATGGGCATTCCCGGTGCGTGGATATGGTGATAGCCATGATGGGCATTCCCGGTGCATGGATATGGTGATAGCCGTGACGGGCATTCCCGGTGCATGGATATGGTGATAGCCATGATGGGCATTCCCGGTGCATGGACACGGTGCCAGCCTCTCCCTATCCCTCCATAGGGATGTGTGGCCCGAAGGGGACGTGTTCGGCCCCCCCAGTGCGGGCCCCCCCGAGGAGACCCAGCTGCTCCAGGACATCCTCTTTGCTCCTCTGCCCCGTGAGTCCACGGCACCGGCAATGGGGGGGGGGCTCTGGTTTGGGGCTGCTCCAACCCCTCAGCACTGTCCCATTGCAGAGCACGCGCCCCCGGAGCCTGAGGAGCCGGAGGAAGAGGAGGAGGAGGAGGAAGAGGAGGAAGAAACCGTGCAGGTGTCGGAGAAGGAGTTCAACTTCCTCGACTACCTGAAGCGGTGAGAGGGGGCTCTGGGGCTGAGGGGGGGGTGATTCCCCATTGACCGCATCGGCCCCACTCACTGGCGCTATGGGGGTAGGTTCGCCTGTGCCCCCGTGGTGCGGGCGCTGGTGCTGCTGCTGCGGGGGTACCCCCGCAACAGCGCCCGCACCAACCACTGCGCCGCGCGCCTGCTGCACCGCCTGGCCCGCGACCTGCGCATGGAGCCGCTGCTCTTCCAGCTCTCCCTCTTCGCCCTCTTCAACCGGCTCCTGCACGACCCCGCCGCCGGCGCGCACCAGGTCCGGTGGGTCCCGCTTCCGTGGGTCCCGCTTCCGTGGGTCCCGCTTCCGTGGGTCCCGCTTCCGTGGGTCCCGCTTCCGCCCCCCAGGCTTCCCAGGGGAGGATCCGGGTCCCCGGTGTCCCCCAGCTCCGCTGTCGCCCGCAGGAGCTCGTGGCCTTGGCCAAGTTCATCCTGGGCAAGTTCTTCGCGCTGGCGGCCACCAACAAGAAGGCGTTCGTGGAGCTGCTCTTCTGGAAGAGCCCCGCGGCCGCCCGCGAGATGACCGAGGGCTACGGCTCCCTGCGGGAGGGAGAGGGGTGAGCGGGGCTGGCGATGGGGCTGCTGCCCTCCCTCCCCTCCCTTTATGCCTCCTATCGCATCCTGTCGTCTCCTATCGCATCCTATTGTACCCTACTGCATCCTGTTGCGTCCTATCACATCCTGTTGTCTCCTGTTGCATCCTATCGCATTCTGTCACATCCTATTGCATCCTATCACACCCTATCGCATCCTATCACATCCTATTGCATCCTATCGCATCCTATCGCATCCTATCGCATCTTATCGCACCCTATTGCACCCTATCGCACCCTATCCCACCCTATCGCACTCTATCGCATCCTATCGCACCCTATCACACCCTATCGCACCCTATCGCACCCTGTCGCATCCTATATCGCCCCTGTTGCCTCCCTCACCTCTCCTCTGTCTCTGCCCAGTGCTGGCAGGAGCCGGGCCCCCCCCTGGACCCCGCAGGAGGAGCAGGAGCTGCGGGAGCTCTATTGGAAGTACAAGGAAGTGGAAGGTACCGGGGCTGGGGTTGGGGGGCGCAGGGGGACCCGCGCTTGGGGGGGGGGTCCGGGGGCTCCATCCCTGTCCCCTGTGGTCCCGCAGGCTTGGACGTGGCCGGAGCCATCCTGGCGCAGCTCCCGGCGCCCGGGCGCACCCGCAGGCACCTGGTGAAGCACTTGGTGCGCTTGGGGCTCATCGGCAGCGCCCGCGACCTCCCGCGGCAGAGGTGGGTCCGGGACCCCCACAACGGGGGCACAACCGGGGCGGCCGCTGAGCCCCGGGGCTGGGGCTGACCCCATGTGTGCCCCCCCCAAGGAAGGGCACCCACATCGTGCTGTGGACGCAGGAGCAGGAGGAGGAGCTGGCGCGGCTCTTTGAGGAGTTCCGGGGCTCGGATGGTGAGGGGGCAGCCCCCGTTGTCCCTCATTGTTTCCCCGTTATCCTTCTCGTTCCCTGTTATTCCCCCCTGTTATCCCTCCCTTATTCCCCCGTTATTTCCCCCATTATTCCGCCCGTTATCCCCCGTTATTTCCCTCTGTTATCCCCCTCTTATTCCCCCCCATGATCCCCCATTTTCCCCTTCGTTATCCCCCATTTTCCTTTATCCCCGATTATTTCTTGGTTATTCCCCATAATTTTCCCATTATTTCCCCCATTATAACCCATGTTATCCCCCGTTATTTCTTTCTGTTATCCCCCTCTTATTGCCCCCCATGATCCCCCATTTTCCCCTTCGTTATCCCCCATTTTCTCTTCCTTTATCCCCGATTATTTCTTGGTTATTCCCCATAATTTTCCCATTATTTCCCCCATTATAACCCATGTTATCCCCCATTATTTCTCCCGTTATCCCTCTGTTATCCCCCTCTGTTATCCCCCTCTGTTATCCCCCTCTTATTGCCCCCCATGATCCCCCATTTTCCCCTTCGTTATCCCCCATTTTCTCTTCCTTTATCCCCGATTATTTCTTGGTTATTCCCCGTAATTTTCCCATTTTTTCCCCCATTATAACCCATGTTATCCCCCATTATTTCTCCCGTTATCCCTCTGTTATCCCCCATTATTTCCCTTTGTTATCCCCCTCTTATTCCCCCCCATGATCCCCTATTTTCCCCTTCGTTATCCCCCCTTTTCTCTTCCTTTATCCCCGATTATTTCTTGGTTATTCCCCATAATTTTCCCATTTTTTCCCCCATTATAACCCATGTTATTCCCCATTATTTCTCCCGTTATCCCTCTGTTATCCCCCATTATTTCCCTTTGTTATCCCCCTCTTATTCCCCCCCATGATCCCCTATTTTCCCCTTCGTTATCCCCCCTTTTCTCTTCCTTTATCCCCGATTATTTCTTGGTTATTCCCCATAATTTTCCCATTTTTTCCCCCATTATAACCCATGTTATTCCCCATTATTTCTCCCGTTATCCCTCTGTTATCCCCCATTATTTCCCTTTGTTATCCCCCTCTTATTCCCCCCCATGATCCCCTATTTTCCCCTTCGTTATCCCCCCTTTTCTCTTCCTTTATCCCCGATTATTTCTTGGTTATTCCCCATAATTTTCCCATTTTTTCCCCCATTATAACCCATGTTATTCCCCATTATTTCTCCCGTTATCCCTCTGTTATCCCCCATTATTTCCCTTTGTTATCCCCCTCTTATTCCCCCCCATGATCCCCTATTTTCCCCTTCGTTATCCCCCCTTTTCTCTTCCTTTATCCCCGATTATTTCTTGGTTATTCCCCATAATTTTCCCATTATTTCCCCCATTATAACCCATGTTATCCCCCATTATTTCTCCCGTTATCCCTCCGTTATCCCCCCCCATTATTTCCCCATTACCCCTCATTATCCCCCTCCTGTTTCCCCCCCATCCCCTCATCATTGCCCCCCCCCAGACGTGCTGGGCCGCATCCTGCAGCACCTCACGGCGCGGCGCTCGCGGGCGCGGGTCGTGGACAAGCTGCTGGCGCTGGGGCTGGTGGCGACGCGCGCCGAGCTCTACAAGAGGCGCCGGAGGAAGGGCCAGGGCCCTGCACCGGCACCGGTACCGGTACCATGGGGGGGGTGCTGGAGCCGGGGGGGGGGGCCCAGTGGGTGCTGCCCCATCACAGGCACCCAAACCCCCCCGGTCCCCATAGGGAGCCCCGGCAGCGCTGGCCCAGGACAGCTCCGAGGATGGGGACAGCGAGGAGGAGGAGGAGGAGGATGAAGATGAAGACCCCATGGAGGGGGCTGAGGAAGGGGCTGGGCAGGGCCTGGCGCAGCGGCTGCAGCAGGAAGGTGGGTTCGGGGCTCAGAACCCCCCCGGTCGGGCTCTGCTTGGCTGCGGGGCCGCATCCTGCATCACCCATCGCTGTCCCGCAGGCCTGGCCGGGCCCCTGCGCTGGCTCCAGAGCTGCCTGCGGAGGACGGCGGGGGACCGGGAGGAGGATGGTGAGTGGGGAGGGGGGGGGGGACACGGGACCGACAGGGGCTGGGGGGGGCCCGGGGCTCGCTCCGGTGCTCACCGGGCTCCCGGGGCTCAGGCACCTCCCACCCGGTGCCGCTGGTGCCGCTCTCGGAGGAGAACGAGGACGCGATGGAGAACCGGCGCTTCCAGGCCCTGCTGCGGCGGCTGGGGCTGCGGCCCCCCGAGAGCGAGCAGGTGAGGGACCGGGCGCCAGCACTGGTCCCCATCCCGGTCCCCATCCTTGTCTCCATCCCTATCCCAGTCCCACTTCCCCTTCCCATCCTGCTTCCCATCCCTGTTCCCTTCCCTGTCTCCATCCTTGTCTCCATCCCTATCCCAGTCCCACTTCCCCTTCCCATCCTGCTTCCCATCCCTGTTCCCTTCCCTGTCTCCATCCTTGTCTCCATCCCAGTCCCACTTCCCCTTCCCATCCTGCTTCCCATCCCTGTTCCCTTCCCTGTCTCCATCCTTGTCTCCATCCCCATCCCAATCCCACTTCCCCTTCCCATCCTGCTTCCCATTCCTGTCCCTGTTCCCTTCCCTGTCTCCATCCTTGTCTCCATCCCCATCCCAATCCCACTTCCCCTTCCCATCCTGCTTCCCATCCCTGTCCCTATGCTTGTTCCCATCCCTCTCCCCTCCTTGTCTCCATCCTCATCCCAGTCCTGCTTTCCATTCTCATCCCAGGTCCCATCCCTGTCCCTGGTCCCATCCACGTTCCCATTCCCACCCCCATCTCCGTCCCCTCCTTGTCTCCATCCCCATCCCGGTTCCCATCCCCTGCTCCCATCCTCTCCCTGCACCCTCTCCCCTCTCCACCCAGGAAACCTTCTGGCGCATCCCGGCTGCGCTCACCCCACGGCTGCTCCGCCGGGCGGCCGCCTCCATCACCCACCACGGCCCCGACCCCTCGGGGTGCCCCCGGGAGCTGCCGGAGCCACCCCAGTGCCCGCAGGACCCTGACCCAGGTAAGGCCTCGGAGCGCTTGGAGGCGATGCTCTGCAAGCCCTTCCCCACCCCATTGATTCCATGGCTCTTGTGCCCAGCAGCATCACCGCAGCCGCCGGATTCGGAGAGGTGAGAACTGGTCCCATCCCCACACCGGGGGGCCCTGAGCCGGTCCCTGAGCCCTGTCCCCACCACTGCAGTGAGGAGCCTGACCCCAGCCCCGTGCAGCCCCACACCAAGAGGCAACGGGACCTCGACAGCGAGGACGAGGCCTCCGGCAGCTCCGGTGGGTCCAGCCTGGCGCTGGGGGACAGTGTGGGGAGGGGGGGGGGTCATGGGTGCCCCTGTCCCGGCACCCCTGGATTGGGTGCTCAGCCCCTTCCCTGCTCCATTCAGCCCCAGCGCTGCCCCCCGAGGATGAGGAGGATGAGGAGCTGCAGCCCCTGGGGAGGAGGAAGCGCCTCCGATGCGTGGAAGAGGAGGAGGAGGAGGATGAAGACTGAAGCTCCCCATGGGCTGTTTCACACAGGTTTTAAGGGTGCTGTGGAAGCACCTTTCCCCCCTTGTCCTGGTCTCTCCATTTCCTTGTTTTATCCCCAGATCCCCGTTTCCCCATGGATTTTGTTACTTCCTGGGGTGTTTTTTCCCCGACCTCATTAAACTCTGTAACTGTTCAATAAATCAATGCCGTTCTTGGCCTCCTCTGCTCTGTGGAGCTGGGGCTGGGGTCCTGCCCGTGCACACTGCCCTGTCCCTGCCCCAGGGCCAAGCCCCACGTGTCGCAACAGCCCCTGATAACAGCAGCTATAAAGGGGCCGCAGGGGCTGCGCCCGCAGCCACAGCACTGGGACGGGGCCGGGACCGGGACCACCGGTGAGTGGGTGAGCCGGGGATGGGGGGTCCTGGGGGCCCTGGTTATACCATGGGGGGCCGTGGTTATCCCATGGGGGGGCCGTGGTTATACCAGGGGGGGCCGTGGTTATACCCTAGGGGCTGTGGTTATGCCATGGGGGGCAGCTGTGGTTATACCATGGGGGGCCGTGGTTATGCCATGGGGGGGCCGTGGTTATACCATGGGGGGGTCTGTGGTTATACCAGGGGGGGCCGTGGTTATCCCGGGGGGGGGGCCGTGGTTATACCCTAGGGGCCCTGGTTATGCCATGGGGGGCGGCTGTGGTTATACCACAGGGTTCTGTGGTTATACCCTAGGGGATGTGGTTATGCCATGGGGGGCTGTGGTTATACCATGGGGGGGCCGTGGTTATACCCTAAGGGCCGTGGTTATGCCATGGGGGGCCGTGGTTATAGCCTAAGGGCCGTGGTTATGCCATGGGGGTTAACAGCTCTCTGCCCCTTCCATAGGCGATCCCGGAGCTGCGCCATGCCCGGGGCTCTGCTCTTCCTCCTCCTCCTCCTCCTGCCGGGGTCCGTGCCCACGGCGCTGGGTGCCGGCCCCGGTGCCTCGGCGCTGCTGGCGGAGCTGGCGCAGCAGAAGCCGTCCGAGCCCCTGCGGGACCGCGCGTTCCCGTGCGGGGCCCTGCTCCCCGCAGCCCTGCCCGGCTTCCCCTCGCTCCCAGCGCTGCCCAGGGCTCTGGTCCGCGCCGCCATGGCCCTGGCGCTCAGCGCCGCCGCCTGCAGCCCGGAGGCTGAAGCCGAGGTGCGGGGCTTGATGCGGGAGCTGGGTCCGGCCGCGGCCGCTGCGCTGCTGCGGGGTCTGGCGCGGCTGCGGCGGGACCCGGCTCCCGAGGCCGTGGCCCAGGTCCTGCTCCGCCTGGCGCAGCCCTGCGCGCCCGGTGCCGCCGCATCCCGGAGCATCGCGGGGCCGCGCTGCAGCGGGGCCGTGCGGAGGCAGCGCGGGGCTGACGATGCCTGCGCCCCGCCGGGGGAGCGGGAGGCGCACGGGGTGCTGGAGTGGGTGCCGGGCGTCAGCGCCTTCTACAACCTGGGCACCAGCGTTTACTTCGCCTTCCAGGGCTGCGAGGCCCTGGCCTCCAGGCGGGCGCTGCAGGCGGCCGAGGACCTGGGCTACGCCAGCCTGGCCGCGATCGCCGCTGCCGCCGGCGGCCCCGTGGCGCTGGGGGTGCAGATGGGGCTGCAGCCGGGGCTCAAGGCTGGCGTGCGGGCGCTCATCGCCTACTTCACGTCGGAGGGGGAGCCCCCGACGGTGCCCAGCGCCCACAGCGGCCCCGTGCTCGTGGTGTGAATAAAGCCCCCGGGGCTGGCTCCGTGTCCCTTGGCTGCGGTCGGATCGATGTGGGGCCGCCCTGCCCCGGGACACGGGGACCTTGGCCCCTCGGGGCGGCCTCGTCAGAGCCACGTGGTGGCAGCCGGCCTGGCCCCGTCACTGTCCCCAGGGCTCCCCCTCCGTGTCCCTGTCGCAATTCCTTGGCCTCCTGCTTCCTTGTCCCCACATCCCTGTCTCCATGTCCTTATCCCCATGTCCCCCATCCCTATCCCCACATCCCTGTCTCCATGTCCTTATCCCCATGTCCCCCATCCCTATCCCCACATCCCTGTCTCCATGTCCTTATCCCCATGTCCCCCATCCCTATCCCCAAATCCCTGTCCCCATGTCCATATCCCCATGTCCCCCATCCCTATCCCCAAATCCCTGTCCCCATGTCCATATCCCTATGTCCCCCATCCCTATCCCCACATCCCTGTCCCCATGTCCATATCCCTATGTCCCACATCCCTATCCCCACATCCCTGTCTCCATGTCCTTATCCCCATGTCCCCCATCCCTATCCCCATATCCCTGTCCCCATGTCCCCCATCCCTATCCCTATATCCCTGTCCCCATGTCCTTATCCCTATGTCCCCCTTCCTGTCCCAGTCCCCCCATTCCATGTCCCCCTATTCCATGTCCCTGTCTGCATGTCCTTATCCCTGTGTCCCCCATACTTATCCCCATATCCTTGCCCCTATGTCCCCCATCCCTGTCCCAGTACCCTATTCCATATCCCAGTCCCCATATCCCTGTCCCCATGTCCTTATCCCTATGTCCCCCATATCCCTATCCCCATGTCCTTATCCCTCTGTCCCCCATCCCTATCCCCATATCCCTATCCCCATGTCCTTATCCCTCTGTCCCCCATCCCTATCCCCATGTCCTTATCCCTCTGTCCCCCATATCCCTATCCCCATATCCCTATCCCTCTGTCCCCCATCCCTATCCCCATGTCCCTATCCCTCTGTCCCCCATCCCTATCCCCATGTCCTTATCCCTGTGTCCCCCATCCCTATCCCCATATCCCTATCCCCATGTCCTTATCCCTATGTCCCCCATCCCTATCCCCATATCCCTATCCCCATGTCCTTATCCCTCTGTCCCCCATCCCTATCCCCATGTCCTTATCCCTCTGTCCCCCATATCCCTATCCCCATATCCCTATCCCTCTGTCCCCCATCCCTATCCCCATGTCCTTATCCCTCTGTCCCCCATCCCTATCCCTGTCCCCCATCCCTATCCCAGTCCCCCCATTCCATGTCCCTCTCCCCATCTCCCGCTGTCCCCATCCCTGCTTCCCCGTTGGCCCCGCCCCGTGACGTCATTTCGGGGAAGCGGGCAACCCCGCTGGAACCACCCCTGCGCCCCGGGAGGGGGCGTGGCCTCTCCTCCGCGCTCCGCCAATCATCGCGAGCAGCGGGCGGGGGGGGGCGTGGCCACTCCCCTTCCTGCGCCGGTAGCGGCCGAGGTGGGCCCCGACGGGGGGGGCCCGGGGCAGGGACCCCGGGACCGGCGGGGGGGGACCCCCCCTTGAGGGCTCCATTGGGGGGCTCCGGGGTGCCCGGACCCCATCGGGGTGAACGGGGGGGGTCGGTGTCGGGGGGTCCCTGCGAGGGGCGACGGGAGGAGCGGGGGGTGCGTGAGCCCCGCGGCTCAGGGCTCCCTCCCGGGCCAGGACGGGGCTGCGGCGCGGGGCGCTCCCGTCGGAGCAGCGGGACCCGGGAGCACCGTGCTGCGGGCAGGTACGGGAGTGCGGGGAGCCCTGGGGGGTGCTCTGTAAGGGGCTCTATAGGGGTAGAGTGCTCTATGGGGTGCTCTATAGGGTGCTCTATAGGGGTAGAGAGTGGTCTGGGGGGTGCTCTATAGGGGTAGAGAGTGGTCTGGGGGGTGCTCTATGGGGTGCTCTATAGGGTGCTCTATGGGGTGCTCTGTGGGGGGCTCTGTGGGGTGCTCTGTGGGGTGCTCTATGGGGTGCTCTATGGGATGCTCTATGGGGTGCTCTATGGGGTGCTCTATGGGGTGCTCTATAGGGTGCTCTATGGGGTGCTCTATGGGATGCTCTATGGGGTGCTCTATAGGGTGCTCTATGGGGTGCTCTGTGGGGTGCTCTGTGGGGTGCTCTATGGGGTGCTCTATGGGATGCTCTATGGGGTGCTCTATAGGGTGCTCTATGGGGGGCTCTATGGGGTGCTCTATGGGGTGCTCTGTGGGGTGCTCTGTGGGGTGCTCTATGGGGTGCTCTGTGGGGTGCTCTATGGGGTGCTCTATGGGGTGCTCTATAGGGTGCTCTATGGGGTGCTCTATGGGATGCTCTATGGGGTGCTCTATGGGGTGCTCTATGGGGTGCTCTGTGGGGTGCTCTATGGGGTGCTCTATGGGATGCTCTATGGGGTGCTCTATGGGGTGCTCTGTGGGGTGCTCTGTGGGGTGCTCTATGGGGTGCTCTATGGGATGCTCTATGGGGTGCTCTATGGGGTGCTCTGTGGGGTGCTCTATGGGGTGCTCTATGGGGTGCTCTGTGGGGTGCTCTATGAGACGCCCTGACCCCCCGCCGTCCCCCCCAGCATGGCACAATGGCAGGAGGTGCAGAACTTGGCCAACGCGTACCTGGAGCAGATCCACGAGCTGTACGCCGGGGCCGCGCTGCCCATGGCCGTGCGGCAGTGCCTGGCAGCGTGGATCGAGGACCAGAACTGGTAACGGGGCCGGGGCCGGGGTTACCCCGGGATGCGGGCGCTGCGGGGCCGGTGCTGAGCCCCCGGTGCCGCAGGCGCCAGGCGGCGGAGCCGCTCTCCTCCCATGCCCGGATGCTTTTCCACTCCTTGCTGGTGCTGCTCTGGGAGCGCCTGGGCAGCCTGGGGCTGGGCAATGAGGACTTCATGCTGAGGCACAACCTCCGCAAGGCCCATCGGGACCTGCAGGTAGGCGATGGGAGGGGGTGCTGGGGACGGGGGTGTCCATGATGGGGGGGGGGTCTCTGCCCCCCACTGACCCCCTCAGCCCCTTCAAGGCCAAGTTCGAGGAGTGCCCGGAGACCTTCGCCAACCTGGTGGCCAATCTGCTGCAGGAGGAGCGGCGCATCCTGCGCCTGGGGCAGGCGGGGGGGCAGGTAGGGCAGGTGTCCCCCCCCCTTCCCAGTGCACCCCATGGGGCTCTGCCCCACAGCACCCCCCTGTTTCCATAGGGGGGGGCAGCCCCAGCGCCCAGCCCGTCCCCGAGGAACGACCGCGAGCAGCAGATCCAGCGGCGCTTGGCTGAGCTCCACACAGCCCTGCAGGTAACGGACCCCCCCCCACCCCAGACCCCCATGTCCCCATCCCCATGTCCCGGGGGGAAAGGGGGGGGGGGGCTGCCTGCTTCCTCACCCCCTTGTACCCCCCCCCAGGAAGCGGAATGCGCCTTCCGGCACCTCGAGGACATGCAGGACGCCTTTGACTTCTGCTTCAAGGTGCACTACGTGCCGGGTAAGGCTCAATCCTGCCCCGCGCCGCCCTGCGCCCCCCCCGAACCCCCTGAACCCCCAAACCCCACCCGCAGGCGAGGACAGGACCAATGACCCCCAGTACGCGCAGCAGATCCAAGCGCTCCAGGCCAAGCTGCAGATCCTGGACCGGCAGCGGCGGGTGAGGATGGGGGCTCCACGGATGGGCTTTAAGGGCTTCCCCCCCCCCCCGACCCCGCTCATCCCCGTGTCCATCCATAGGAGGTGCTGGCTCAGATACAGCAGCTCCTGGGGCGCAGCGAGACGCTGCAGGACTTCGTGCTGCAGGAGCTGGAGGCGTGGAGGGACCGGCAGCAGCGCGCCTGCATGGGGGCCCCCGAGGACACCAACCTGCGCCCCTTGGAGACCTGGTAGTGATGGTGATGGGATGGAGCGGGGGCACGGACCGGACCCCACTGAGCCCCCTCCCGGTGCCGCAGGTTCACGGAGCTGGGCCAGGGGCTCTTCCAGCTGCTGCGGCTGCTGCGGGCGCTGGGGGAGCTGTGCCTGAAGGTGACCTACGAGAGGGACCCGCTCAAGGCAGAGCCCCCGCTCCTGGAGAAGCGCCTCAAGGAGCTGCTCTCGTACCTGATACAGAGGTGGGGGGGACACGCATTGGATCGGGGGGGTGTAAAAGGGGGGTGGTCCTGACCCCCCCCCCCCCCAATGGCAGAGCCTTCGTGGTGGAGCAGCAGCCCACGATGCCCAACGCCTTCAAGCGCCCTCTCGTGCTCCGCACCGCCACCAAGTTCTCAGCCCGCGCCCGCCTCCTCCTGCGCCTCCACGACCGCAACCACCCCATGGAGACCTCGATCCACATCGACAGGTCCGGAGCCCCCCCTCCCCGCCGCCGCCCCGTCCATCAGCGCATCAACGAGGGGGGGGTCCCAGCTGATGCTCCCTTGTCTGTTGCAGGGACCCCCCCAAGATAAAGGGGTGAGAGATGAGTGATGGATGCAGGGGATGTGCCCCGACCCACCCCATCCGGGGGTCCCGGCCCCCCACCCGCTGCCTTTATCTGCCCCCCATCAGGTTCCGCAGGTTCAACATCCTGACATCGAGCAGCAAAACCCTCCTGGCAGGGGACAGTCCCCAGGAGGGGCTGGTCTGCGACTTCCAGTACCTGGTACGGATCCCCCCCCCCTTACACCCCCAAGTCCTCCATGGGGCGAGGACGCCGCCCCTGAGCCTGTCCCGCCCCACAGACGCTGAAGGAGCAGAAGGACAGCCGGGCCGGCAAGGGCAGCAAAGGCGGCGGCGAGGTGGGTGCAGCGCTGCTGGGGGGCAATGGGGGTGGCCGGTGCCCCACGGTGACACCCCCCCACCCCACCCCGTTGCCCCATAGGGCCCCGTGGTGGTGACGGAGGAGCTGCACCTCATCACCTTCACGCTGGCGTACGCGTACTGCGGGCTGGAGCTGGAGCTGGAGGTGAGCGATGGGCCCGGGGGGGGCCGGGGGGGGCCGGGGGTGCAGCCTGAGCCCTGCTCTCCCCGCAGACCTCCACGCTGCCCTTTGTCATCATCTCCAACAACAGCCAGCTCTCCAGCGCCTGGGCCTCCATCCTCTGGTTCAACATGCTCAGCCCCGACCCTAAGGCAAGTGGGACCCCCCCCCCCCCTCCCCAGCATGGCCCTGGCCCCCTGTGCCTGGTGCAGGGCTCTGGCCCCCTGTGCTCTGCCTCAGTGCATCTCCCTGGTCCCAGTCCTGGTCCCTATCCCTGTGCTCTGTCCCTGTCCCAATCCCTGTTCCATGTCCCTGTACCCTATCCCTGTTCTCTATCCCAGTCCCTATCCCCGTTCCCTATCCCTGTTCTCTATCCCAGTCCCTATTCTCTGACCCAGTCCCTCTCCCTGTTCCCTATTCCCTATCCCTGTTCTCTCTCCTAGTCCTTACCCCTGTTCCCTATCCCCTGTTCCCTCTTCCCCATTCCTATTCTCTCTCCCAGTTCTTATCCCTGTTCGCTGTCATTGTTCCTACCACTATTCCCTATCCTTATTCTCCATCCCCATCCCTATTCTCCATCCCCATCCCTATTCTCCACCCCAGTCCCTATTCTCCATCCCCATCCCCATTCTCTACCCCAGTCCCTATTCTCCATCCCCATCCCTATTCTCCACCCCAGTCCCTATTCTCCATCCCCATCCCTATTCTCCATCCCCATCCCTATTCTCCATCCCTATTCTCCACCCCAGTCCCTATTCTCTACCCCAGTCCCTATTTTCCACCCCAGTCCCTATTCTCCATCCCCATCCCTATTCTCCACCCCAGTTCCTATTCTCCATCCCCATCCCTATTCTCCACCCCAGTCCCTATTCTCCACCCCAGTGCCTATTCTCCATCCCCATCCCTATTCTCCATCCCCATCCCTATTCTCCATCCCTATTCTCCACCCCAGTCCCTATTCTCCATCCCCATCCCTATTCTCCATCCCCATCCCTATTCTCCATCCCTATTTCCACCCCAGTCCCTATTCTCTACCCCAGTCCCTATTCTCTACCCCAGTCCCTATTCTCCACCCCAGTCCCTATTCTCCACCCCAGTCCCTATTCTCCATCCCCATCCCTATTCTCCATCCCTATTCTCCACCCCAGTCCCTATTCTCTACCCCAGTCCCTATTCTCCACCCCAGTCCCTATTCTCTACCCCAGTCCCTATTCTCCACCCCAGTGCCTATTCTCCATCCCCATCCCTATTCTCCATCCCCATCCCTATTCTCCATCCCTATTCTCTACCCCAGTCCCTATTCTCCACCCCAGTCCCTATTCTCCACCCCAGTCCCTATTCTCCACCCCAGTTCCTATTCTCCACCCCAGTCCCTATTCTCCACCCCAGTGCCTATTCTCCATCCCATTCCCCTCCCCGGTCCCTCTCCCCTCCCCATGCCACCGCTCCGGCCCCACAGGAGCCCCAGTTCCAGTTCTTCTCGGCCCCCCCCGCGGCGCCGTGGCCGCTGCTGGCGCAGGTGCTGAGCTGGCAGTTCCAGAGCGTGGCCGAGCGGGGCCTGGCCCGGGAGCACCTCCTCATGCTGGCCGAGAAGCTCTTCGGTACGGGGGGGCCGGGCCCCGACACCCCCTCACCCCTGCCCCCCACCCCTGCCCCCCTCACCCTGCGCTCCCCCTCCAAGGCTCGAAGCCGTCTCCAGAGAGCACCTTGAGCTGGACCAAGTTCTCCAAGGTGAGCCCCAATTGCCCCCCATAGCCCCCCATTGCCCTCCATAGTCCCCCCATTGCCTCTCATAGTCCCCCATAGCCCCCATAGCCCCAAAGCCCCCTATGGCCCCCATAGCTCCCCATTGCCCCCCATAGTCCCCCCATTGCCCCCCATAGTCCCCCATTGCCCCCCGTAGCCCCCTATGGCCCCCATAGCCCCCCATTGCCCCCCATAGCCCCCTATGGCCCCCATAGCCCCCCCATAGTCCCCCATTGCCCCCCATAGCCCCCTATGGCCCCCATTGCCCCCCATTGCCCCCCATAGTCCCCCTATAGCCCCTATAGCCCACATAGCCCCCTATGGCCCGCATGGCCCCCCTGTTCCCTGTAGGATGGTGCCGCTGGCTTCTCCTTCTGGGCTTGGCTGGACGGGATCCTGGGGCTGCTCCAGGAGCACCTCAAGCAGCTCTGGAAGGATGGGTAAGGGGCTGCGGGGGGGGGATCAATGGGGGGGTCCCTGGGGGGTGCTGACGGGGCCTCCCCCAGGCTCATCCTGGGCTTCGTGAGCCGGAAGCAGGAGAAGAAGCTGCTGAAGGGGAAGAGGACGGGGACGTTCCTGATCCGGTTCAGTGAGAGCATCCTGGGGGGGGTCACCTGCACCTGGGTGGAGCATCCTGAGAGCGGTGAGTGCTCCCCCATAGCCCAGTGGTGGGTCCCCATAGGAGCTATCCCCATATCCCAATAGTGGGTCCCCATATGGGCTACCCCCATATCCCAATAGTGGGTCCCCCATATCCCAGTAGTGGGTCCCCATAGGAGCTATCCCCACATCCCAATAGTGGGTCCCCATACAGGCTATCCCCATATCCCGGTAGTGGGTCCCCATATGGGCTATCCCCATATCCCAGTAGTGGGTCCCCATAGGAGCTATCCCCATATCCCAATAGTGAGTCCCCATACAGGATATCCCTGTATCCCAATAGTGGGTCCCCATACGGGCTATCCCCATATCCCAGTAGTGGGTCCCCATAGGAGCTATCCCCATATCCCAATAGTGAGTCCCCATACAGGATATCCCTGTATCCCAATAGTGGGTCCCCATACGGGCTATCCCCATATCCCAGTAGTGGGTCCCCACACGGGTATCCCCATATCCCACAACAACAGCCTCCTCCCCATAGGGCCCCCCGCGTTCCGCGCCGTGGTCCCCTACACTGCGGCCGAGCTGGTGTCCCTGGCGCTACCCGACATCATCCGTGACTACCAGCTGCTGGTGGAGGAGAACATCCCCGAGAACCCGCTCCAGTTCCTGCACCCCAACATCCCCCGCGACGAAGCCTTCGGGCCCTACTATAGCAAGAGGGAGGAGGGTACGGCCCCGATGTGGGGTGGGACAACGGGGGGGGGTGTTGAGGTCTGCAGCCCCCCCCTCCTCGACATCCCATTGTTGCCCACAGGGAACCTGATGGAGCAGAAGAAGTACCTGAACCGGCGCCTCATCCGCGTGTCCTCCAGGTGAGGCAGGGCGATGCCACGTGGCAATGGGGGTCCCCCTGCGTCCCCCCCCATAGCCTCAACCCTGCATCTCTTCCCATAGGCAGGCCAATGAGTCGTGGCAGACAGAAGAGGAGCTGGTGACAGCCACGGAAAACCTGGAGACGCTGAAGCTGCAGCCTGGCAGCTCCGGGGCGCAGCAGCCCAGGGAGCCAGGGATGCTGCAGGTCGTGCCTGGGAACCGGGGATCGGTGCAGCCCACGAGCCCAGGGACAGTGCAGGTGATGGCCACGAGCCCCGCGTTGCTGCAGCCACAGCCCCCAGGCCTGGAGCCATTGCAGCCGCTGCAGGTCGCATCAGGGGTCTTGGAGATGCTGCAGCCGGGCATTGGGAGCATGGAGCCGCAGTTGGTGCTGCAGCTCATCCCCGAGGGCCAGGGGATGCTGCAGCCGGGACCGGGAGCTGTGGCGATGCTGCAAGTGGTGCCTAGAGGGCAGCCGGTGCCCGGGGATGCAGGGATGCTGCAGCCGGTGCCCGGGGACATGGGGATACCACAGCCAATGCTTGGGGATACAGGGATACCACAACCAGTGCCTGGGGATGCGGGGATGCTGCAGCCGGTGCCTGGGGATGGGGGGATGCTGCAGCCGGTGCCTGGGGATGGGGGGATGCTGCAGCCGGTGCCTGGGGATGCGGGGATGCTGCAGCCGGTGCCTGGGGATGCGGGGATGCTGCAGCCGGTGCCTGGGGATGCGGGGATGCTGCAGCCGGTGCCTGGGGATGCGGGGATGCTGCAGCCGGTGCCTGGGGATGCGGGGATGCTGCAGCCGGTGCCTGGGGATGCGGGGATGCTGCAGCTGGTGTCAGGGGCTGTGGAGCCGCTGCTGGTCCCTGAGGAGCCGGGGCCGCTGCCACCGGAGCTGAGGGACCTGGAGCCGCTGCCCGGGAGCCTGGACATGCAGGAGCTCCTGCAGTCGCTCGCAGAGGGCTCGGGGACCCTGGAAGCGCTGGAAGCGGCGGAGCTGATGCCCAACGCCCTGGAGGCCGCGGAGGGGCAGGGCCCGGGCCCGGGGCTGGAGGGTGAGTGCCGGGGCCGGAGGGGACAGGGGCGCCCCTTCGGCGCTGAGCTCCGGCCGCCCCCCGCAGGCAGCGCCGCGCTCCTGGATGCCCACGACCCGTTCCTGCCGCAGCCCGAGGACGCGGCGCTCCCCGCTGCCGTCGGGTCCCTCTTCAGCACCGACTTCCCCCCGCTCCACATCGATGCCAACGACTTCCAGTGACGCCCCCCCCCCGTAAATAAACCTCTTCCTCTCTTCCTACCCGGGTTTGTGCCGCACGCACGGAGCCGCTCGCCTCCTTCAGCCCTTTATTCGCAACCCATAAATACCCGCGATAAATAGCGTCCAACAGCACATAAATAACCCCTCCGGAGGGGAATAAATAGTCGGGCCCCCCCCCCGGGCCTCAGCGGGGGCCGGCGCTGTGGGTGAAGACGCGGCTCATGATGGTGCTGAAGGACTGGAGGCGCTGGAGCGCCAGGCGCTGCAGCAGCGGCTGAGCCCAGGGATCGCTGCGGGCCATGGGGCGCCGGGGCGGGCGGGCGGGCTCCTTCTGTGGGGACAGCGGCGTTAAGGGGCTGATGGGGTGCGGGGGCTCCCGGCGGGGGTCCCGGCCCCCATCCCCTCACCTGCACCAGCCCCAGCAGCTGCTCCAGGGCGGCCTCCAGCGGGGGCAGGCGGCGGGCGGTGAAGATGTCGGAGCTCAGCAGGTCCCGGTAGTGCTGCAGCCCCTGGAGGATGCGGTGCAGGCAGCGCTGCGGGGACAGGGGGGTGAGAGGGGACCCGGGTACATCCCCCGGCACCCCTGGGGGGCCCAACTGCATCCCTCAGCATCCCTGGGAACCCCAGCACCAATAGGAATCCAAACTGCTCCCCTTGGACCCTCATGACCCATGGGAATCACAAGCACATCCCTCAGCATCCCTGGGAACCCCAGCACCAATAGGAATCCAAACTGCTCCCCTTGGACCCTCATGACCCATGGGAATCGCAAGCACATCCCTCAGCATCCCTGGGAACCCCATCACCAATAGGAATCCCAAGTACACCCCTGGGACCCCCAGAACCCATGGGAATCCCAACTGCATCCCTGGGACCCCCATCAACAGTGGGAATCCCAATTGCATCTCTCAGCACCTCTGGGACCCCTAGCACCCACGGGAACCCCAACTGCATCCCTCAGCATCCCTGGTACCCCCATTACCAATAGGAATCCCACGTGCATCCCTGGAACTCCCAGCACCCATGGGAACCCCAATTGCATCCCTGAGCATCACTGGGACCCCCATCACCAATAGGAATCACAACTGCATCCCTGGCACCCTCAGGACCCACGGGAACCCCAAATGCATCCCTCAGCATCCCTGGGATCCCCGCGCACCTCTGGACGCCAGGCACAAACCCCAGCACCCATGGGACCCCCTCAGGCCCCCGTTGTCCCCCAGCACCCCATGCACCGTGTTGTTGGTGTCCAGATTGGAGGGGTCGCAGGCGTCACTGCAGCGGATCCGGGGGGGCCAGTTCTTGGGGTCCTCCTCGCTCAGGTGCGTGTCCTCCTGGCAGCGGGGGGGGGTCAATGAGGTCCCCACGTCCCCCGGCACCCCCTGCCCCCCCCATCCGAGCCCCCCCCTCCGCGCTCACCAGGACTCCGTGGGGCTCTTTGAGGGTCGCCACCAGCCCCGACAGCTCCCGAGAGAGGCTCTTGCAGGCGGCCCAGTTGGGGCCGGGGACCGGGGCCGGGGCCGGGGCCGCGGGCGGCAGCAGCAGCAGCAGCAGCGGGAGGCAGAGGCGTCGGAGCGGGTCCATGGCGGGTCGGTGCCGCCACCGGCGCCGCCACCGGGCTCTTATGGGGCGGCGGCAGGTGGGGAATCCCCGGGGCAGGTGGCACCCGCCCCCCGTTACTGCGAAATCGCCGCCTCCCCCGAAAGCAGAACCGATACCGGGCCGGGGTCCCCGGGCTGCGCCCCGCCGGGCCCGGCCCCGCGCCGGGATGGGACGGGACCGGACGGGCAGGAAAACCCAGGGCAGTTCCTGGCGGCTCCGCGGCGGCAGCGGCACGGGCGGGACCGGGGCCTCCCCCCCACCCCGAGCGCACCGGGTGGGACGGGACCCCCGCAGTCCCGCATTGTCCCCTCCGCTCTCCCCCGCTGCCTCCGTGATCGGCCGGGGCGGCCCCATCGCAGCAACAGCGGCTCCCGGGGCTTCCCCCGTCCGCGCCCCCCGCAGGCCCCGCAGCCCGGCCGGGTCGCGCTGCCCGCGGAGCCGCAATCGCGGCGGCCCCGACGGGGCGGCTCCGGGCGCTTCCTGCTCCCGCCCGGCGGGGCTGCCCCCGGCCTTCCCCGGGCACGGGGGCTCGCACCCGGAGCGCCGCAAGCACGGGGAGCGGGGAGGCTCGGGAAGGGGCGGCCGGGGAGGGTGAACGGGACGGGTGGCAGCATCACGGACCGGGTACGGTGCTTTGGCTTGGGGACCTCAGGGAACACGGTGGGGCACGGTAGGACACTGTGGGGCACGGCAGGACACTGTAGGGCACGGTGGGGCACGGTGGGGCACTGTGGGGCATGGTGGGGCACGGTAGGACACTGTGGGGCACGGTAGGACACTGTGGGGAATGGTAGGACACTGTAGGGCACGGTGGGGCACGGTAGGACACCGTGGGGAATGGTAGGACACTGTGAGGCACGGTGGGGCCCTGTGGGGCACGGTGGGACACGGTAGGACACTGTGGGGCACGGCAGGACACTGTAGGGCACGGTGGGGCACGGTAGGACACTGTGGAGCACGATAGGACACTGTGGGGCACGATAGGACACTGTGGGGCACGGTGGGGCACGGTGGGGCACGGTAGGACACTGTGGGGCACGGTGGGGCACTGTGGGGCACGGCGGGGCACGGTGGGGCACGGCGGGGCACGGTGGGGCACGGTGGGGCGCGGTGGGGCGCGGTGGGGCGCGGTGGGGCACGGTGGGGCACGGTGGGGCGCTGCGGATGTTCGGGAGCAGCGCAGGACATCGCGGAGCATCCGCGGACACTCGGGGACTCCGCTACGTCCGGTGCCATCCTTTTTGTCCTCTCCGCCGCGCCGTCCCGCACACCACCCCAGCCGGGCCCCTTAGTCCCGCCTCACTCAGGCGCTGATTGGCCAGCGCTCGCGCCTCTGCGTCGCCATTGGTCCTCCGGTCCCGGGACGCCAGCCGGTGCACCGGGCAGGAGCGCGGGGGGCGCGGTTGCCATAGCGACGGCGGCGGCCCTGGCCCGGCCGTGGCTGCGCAGCGGGACGAGCCCGGGCCCAGCTCGGTAACGGCGGGCGCGGGGGGGGGGGGGGGTTAGGGAACGGCTCGGGGCCAGCGGGGACCCGCCCGGGGCTGCGGGTGCTGATAGCGGCCTGGGGCCGGTGCCGGCCCCGCCGAGATAACGGAGACGGGCACGGAGCTGGCCCCGTGCCTCGCGGGGAGGGGGGGGGGCGGTGAGGCGGGGCTTGGGGTGTCCGGTTCCCCGCGGGGGCGCTGCTGGGGCTGCCCCGGTGCTGCCGGTGCGGGTCCGGTGCTGCCGGTGCTGCCGGTGCTGGCGGTGTGCGTCCGGTGCTGTCCTGGTGCTACCGGTGCGGGTCCGGTGCTGCCCCGGTGCCGTTGGTGCTGCCGGTGCGGGTCCGGTGCTGCCGGCGTGGGTCCGGTGCTGCCCCGGTGCTGCCGGTGCGGGTCCGGTGCTGTCCCGGTGCTGCCGGTGCTGCTGGTGTGTGTCCGGTGCTGTCCTGGTGCTACTGGTGTGGGTCCAGTGCCACCCCGGTGCTGCCGGTGTGGGTCCAGTGCTGTCCCAGTGCTGCCAGTGTGGGTCCCGTCCTGTCCCGGTGCTATTGGTGCGGGTCCGGTGCTGCCGGTGCTGGCGGTGTGCGTCCGGTGCTGTCCTGGTGCTGGCGGTGTGGGTCCCGTGCTGCCCCGGTGCTGCCCCGGTGCTGCCCTGGTGCTGCTCCCAGCCGGGTGCCGGTGTTTCCCAGCCCCACGCAGTCCTCCCTCTGCTCCAAAGGTTTTCAGCATGAACTTCGAGGGGCTCAACCCCTCCCTCGCGGACTACGCTGCCCCCCTGCACCCGGCGCTGGACCCGGTCCTGGACCCACACCTCAACCCCAGCCTCCTGCCCAACGTGGAGCTGGATGCCGAGGGGGTCCCGCTGGAGGGGCTCCCGGTGCCGGAGTCCGTGCACCTCATGGAGGGCGTCTACAGCGAGCTGCACACGGCCGTGTCCGAAGTGGGGGTGCCCGTCTCCGTCTCCCACTTCGACCTCCACGAGGAGATGCTGTGGGTGGGGAACCACGGGGTAGGTGCCCGTGGACCCCCACCGGGGGGACAGGACAAGGGGTGATGGGTGCAGAGTGGAGCAGGGCACGTTCAGCTTGGATCTAGGGAGGTTCTTCCCTGTGAGGGTGCTGGGGCACTGGAATGGGTTGAACGGAGAAGGTTTGGATGCTCCCTCCCTGGCAGTGCTCACGGCCAGGTCGGAGCACGCTGCTCCAGTGGAAGGTGTCCCTGCCCATGGATCTGGATGGGCTTTAAGGTCCCTTCCAACCCAAAGCATTCCACAAGTCTATGAACCTGCCTGAAAGGGACAAACCCAAGTGGGTTTCCAAGGCCCACAGGGGCAGGAAGCGTCCCTCTTCCTGGAATTGAAAGCACCGTGTCCCATCTCGGAGGGGGGATCTCACCATTATCCCCGGTGCTTTCAGGGCCACGCCACCTCTTTCTTCGGCCCCACGCTGGAGAGGTATTCCTCCTTCCAAGTGAACAGCAGCGACGACATCCGCCAGATCCAGAGCCTGGAGAACGGCGTCCTCTTCCTGACCAAAACCAACCTCAAGTACATGTCCCGCGGCGGCCTCATCATCTTCGACTACCTGTAAGTGCCTCCTCCCATTGCGCCGTGCTGCAGGGGGGGGTCCCAGCCGCGCTGGGGGCAGCTTGGCTCTATGAGGAGTGCCCTTTCCGTGCAGCATGGAGGAGTCCGAGGACATGCACAGCCTCCTGCTGACCGACAGCAGCACCCTGCTCGTGGCCGGCCTGCAGAACCACGTCCTGGAGATAGACCTCAACACCGTGCAGGAGACGCAGAAGGTGCTGGGGGCTGCTCCCCGCCGTCGGGAGGTGCCGTGTGCCGGCCTTCAGCCCTGCTCAGCCCCTCTCTTGTGCCCCCTTCCCAGTACACGGTGGAGGTCCCCGGGATCACCATCATGAGGCAATCGAACCGCTTCTTCTTCTGCGGGCACACCTCAGGGAAGGTACCCGCAGCCCCAGCCTGACGCAGGGTCCCCTGGAGCCGGTGCTCGGGGAGCTCCCAGCACCCTCACCCTGCCCTGCCAGGTCTCCCTCCGGGACCTGCGCACCTTTGTGGTGGAGCACGAGTTCGACGCCTACTCGGGCAGCTTGTCCGACTTCGACGTCCACGGGAACCTGCTGGTGACGTGCGGCTTCTCCAGCCGGATGAACGGGCTGGCCTGCGACCGCTTCCTCAAGGTCTACGACCTGCGCATGATGAGGGCCACCACCCCCCTGCAGGTCCACATCGACCCCTTCTTCCTCCGCTTCATCCCCACCTACACCTCCCGCCTGGCCATCATCTCGCAGACAGGTCGGTGAGCGGGGCAGGTTCCCCCCAGGCCTCATGGTCGGGGGCAAATCCCAGTGGGATAGAGTTGGGATAGCATAGGGTGAACATGGGAGAGCATAGGGTGAACATGGGATAGAGTTGGGTGAACATGGGACAGAGTTGGGTAAACACGGGATAGAGTTGGGTGAACATGGAATAGAGTTGGGTGAACATGGGATAGCATAGGGTGAATATGGGATAGAATTGGGTGAACATGGGATAGAGTTGGGTGAACATGGGATAGAGTTGGGTGAACACGGGACAGAGTTGGGTGAACACGGGATAGAGTTGGGTGTGCACGGAATAGTTGGGTGAACATGGGATAGAGTTGGGTGTGCACGGAATAGTTGGGTGAACATGGGATAGAGTTGGGTGAACATGGGACAGAGTTGGGTGAACATGGGATAGAGTTGGGTGAACATGGAATAGAGTTGGGTGAACATGGGATAGCATAGGGTGAACATGGGATAGAGTTGGGTAAACATGGGATAGAGTTGGGGGAACATGGAATAGAGTTGGGTGAACATGGGATAGCATAGGGTGAACATGGGATAGAGTTGGGTAAACACGGGATAGAGTTGGGTGAACATGGAATAGAGTTGGGTGAACATGGAATAGAGTTGGGTGAACATGGGATAGCATAGGGTGAACATGGGATAGAGTTGGGTAAACACGGGATAGAGTTGGGGGAACATGGGATAGAGTTGGGTGAACATGGGATAGCATAGGGTGAACATGGGATAGAGTTGGGTGAACATGGATAGAGTTGGGTGAACATGGAATAGAGTTGGGTGAACATGGGATAGCATAGGGTGAACATGGGATAGAGTTGGGTGAACATGGGATAGAGTTGGGTGAACATGGGATAGAGTTGGGTGAACACGGGACAGAGTTGGGTGAACACGGGATAGAGTTGGGTGAACACGGGACAGAGTTGGGTGAACATGGGATAGAGTTGGGTGTGCACGGAATAGTTGGGTGAACATGGGATAGAGTTGGGTGAACATGGAATAGAGTTGGGTGAACACGGGACAGAGTTGGGAAAACACGGGATAGAGTTGGGTGAACATGGAATAGAGTTGGGTGAACATGGAATAGAGTTGGGTGAACTTGGGATAGAGTTGAGTGAGCATGGGATAGAGTTGGGTGAACATGGGATAGAGTTGGGTGAACACGGGATAGAGTTGAGTGAACACGGGACAGAGTTGGGTGAACACGGGACAGAGTTGGGTAAACACGGGATAGAGTTGGGTGAACATGGAATAGAGTTGAGTGAACACGGGACAGAGTTGGGTAAACACGGGATAGAGTTGGGTGTGCATGGGACCGGGTTTGCTGAGCATGGGACGGGGTTGGCTGAGCATGGGACGGGGTTGGCTGAACATGGGACTGG